TTATCAAGTTGAACAAGTCAAAAACTAGAGTTTTAACATAAAATCATGAACATTACCTGATTATGAATTAAATAAATTATATTTGCTATTTTGAAGGGGTTTGATGATAAATGGAGTCAAATGTGAAGATATGATAGATGGAGATAAACTAAAAAATATGAGGACCTATCCAAAGAAAATTAAGATCATCAAGTTGTTGAAGAGAAGGCTTAAGCCTCCAACATGGAGCTTAAGCCCCCAAAATATTCCTAAATATGCAAATAGCCTCTGCCTCTGGGCGCTTAAGCCCCCAACTCAGGGCTTAAGCGCGAGCCAAGAAGAAAGTTCAGACTCGAAGAGAGCGCTTAAGCGTGCTACGTTAATTTTCCATGCAATTCTCAGCAGGCTTAAGCGCGAACGTTAATTCTGCATTCGTAAATTAGGAAGCTTAAACGTGAATGAGCAAGCTTAAGCGCCCCAAAAGACCCAACTTAAGCCCACTTGAAGTCTCCACCTAGGGCACGAATTCTTTACCCTTAAAAAAAATATTTTGGGGTCAAAATTAAAAAGTTTTACACATTCAAGAAGAGTTCTTGGTATTCGGAAGCAGAGGGAACGCGGAGAAATTCATCCGTTCATGTTCGTGAGCGGCGGAGACGGATCAACATCAAGTCTGCACTGAGGATATTGAAGATTTACCAATCATCTATGGAGTTTGGGGAAGCTTTTTATTTTCTTTCGTTCTTGATATTGCTATATCCGGCTAGTTCTTTTAGTAGTTAGGGTTAAATGGAATTCAAGATCTTTATTATGCTTTGAACAATTCGTTATGTTAATTTTTCTTTTTATCATGAATGAAATTATATGTTTTTAATGCTTTATATGAGCTTGAATCTTGTATATTGATCTTAGGTAAATGCATGACAATAGGAATGTTGGTGTGTGATCCATATCTGATAATTTCATCGTAAACTTTATGATTCTAGGGATAGACATAGGGTTTGCGTAATCTTTATGACTTGAACTTAATGCTTACATTCTTGGGGAATAACCAGGGAACTAGGATTCTTGCAAGATTGTAAAGGTTTAGGGTAACAAGGGATTGAGCCTTAATTACATAAGAAAGAATTCATTAGATTGATATTAAGGATGATTAACGTAAATAAGGAATTCAAACGTAATAGAGAGATTGAAGGAAATCGAAACCATAGCTACGTTCTTTTATATTAGTTAAATCAAATTTTTAAATTCTTGCTTTTAATTCTTGCGATTAATTAGTTTTAATATTTAAATTTCAATTCAAATCTTGTTTCTAATACAATTTCGCTTGTCCAACTTAAGTTGCAATAGTGAATTAGTGCTTGAGTATAATCCTCGTGAGAACGATCTCTTATTCAATCATTATATTACTTGTACGATTGGTGCACTTGCCGTAAGTCCCAACAATATGCTTTTAGATGCTAAACTACATAGTAAATATCTACCAAAAAGAAAACTACATATATAGTAAATACTATTCAAACATCTTATTTGAGAAATATATATATATATATATATATATATATATATATTAAATTTTAAAATTTAAAACCAAATCTTAACAGTTGATTTCAGTCAATCAATAGTTATAACTATTACGGTTAAGATTTGATATCAAACTTTTTAATATTGTTTGTTACACACAGTGTTACTGTAACAAAACTTAAGAAAGAAAAAATATATAATTGTTTCATAGTTTTTTGTAGAGTGTCATCTATTTCGCCGATATTTCTTCTGTTGGGAGGGATCATGTCTTGTTTTAGTTTTGTTTTTTGTATTTTGTTCTGTTTGTGGGCTCTTGCCCTTTCATTTACCAAAAAAAAGAGAGTCGAAACATAGAATTATATTTGTATGTTCCTTTTATCAAATGTTAAAATTCTCACGCCTATAAAATCCAATTGGCATCTCAATTTAAGTTCTTAATATCAATTACAGTTGTTCAAGTGATAAAGAAATTTGTTGTTCTTATTTAAAGATCTGGAGTTTGAACTCTCGTTAAGTATATATGTTCAACGAAAACAGGTTTATACCACTCATCTATATAGCCTGTTTTATACCCTGCTTAAGTATATGTTTACGTGGTGCAGTCTCCAAAAATATTTTATACTACTAACGCATGCTAAGCCTTTTGGCAAGTCTTGAAGCTAATAACTCGATGGTGAACTTCAATCTCAAAATGCTGCAACTACATAGTAATGGCAGTGCAATTCGTTAAAAATATTTTCAATCCATTGTGATTTTGTGATTTATAGTTTGACTCCCGTGATTTTAAACTTATCACTTAGATACATTGTGCTTAAATAATTTATCATTTAACTTCCCGTGAATTTAAATTTTCACTTAGACTCCTTGTGGTTAAAAATATTTTCACTTAGACCTCTTATTACAAAAATAAATATTTAAAATAAATTTTTCCTCTTTTTTATTTTATATCCTCATATAATGCATTTAAGGTTTAAAAAATAAAAATAAAATCTAAAAAATTCACTTATTTTTATCAAGAAATTAAATTCAAATCAAATATTTTTATTTTATATGTTTTTTACCCGGTATCATTATAAAATTATCTAAAGAAAATAAATATCTTATTTTGTAATACATATTTAATTTATATTAACTAATATTTTTTAATTTCCTCTTAAATAATATTTTTAATTTCAAATATATTTTTAAAATAAAAAAAATTAAGATAATTTATAAATTAATTTCAGAATAAATAACTGAAAATATTTTTCAAGCCATAAATGTATTACACGAGGATATAAAATAAAAAAGAGAGAAAATTTATTTTAAATATTTTTTTAAAATGTTTAATTTTTAAACCACAAAGAATTTAAGTGAAAAATTTTGTAACCACAAAAGATCTAAGTGAAAATTTGAAATCACAAGAAGTAAAATGATAAATTATCTCAGCACAGTGGATATAAATGATAAGTTTAAAACTACAGGGAGTCAAATGATAAATTTCAAAACCATAATAGATGAAAATGAAATTTTTCCTAAATTAAACAAGATAAATCGTTGGATTAAACATGTTAAGTCATCTTATATCACTTGCAGTATTCTTTAATTAAAAAACTATTGTCAAAATCCTTTAAGTGGGATTTGAATATTTCTTTAGAGTAATTATAATAGGAATTTCAACTACTAACAACAAATAAAAAATGAGTTTTAAAAAATGTTCAATTCGTTATTAACGTATTTGTATTTTTATCAAAATGTAAACCGTCAAAAACTATAGCACACTATATTTCAAGGAAAAAAAATGTGTCATTTTAAATGATACACCTTATATCTTTTCACTCTCACAAAAAGATGAATCCCACACTTTTAAAACTTATTTCACTTATTCTCTCTCCCATGATTTATCTTTCTCTCACTTAAAATAACATAACTTTATGTCCTTCAAAATGATACACACTTTCCTCATATTTCAATAGGATAATGATAGCTACATACATGATTTCTTTCACATGTATATGACGCGTAGATAATTAGAATCAATAACATTTATAAGAAAATTGTTGAGTATGTATATTGGTATTGCCAAAAAAATTTCTCCAAATCATCCTTATTTAAGATGTACAAAGAAACCATATTATCATTTTTCATCCGAATATAAAGCCAGCAACCTGTGCAGAAGTCAAAAGGAAGTAAACTTGGATGTGTAGCATAGAAATTAGAAGGTCGTCAATAAATAATTTTCAAAATATACATCCTACTTAATTTTTCTTTTCCGATTTATTTTAACTTAGATCTATAGAATCATTGAAAGTGACAATAATCATCATCATTAGTAAAGCTCTCCCCATTAAATCACTTTTATGATTCTAACAAGAAACTAATTACACTAAATACATTGGGTTTGGATATTAGAATAGATAATTCAATAAAAGGTCTCTCCCTTATCCAAGATGACCTAATTAATACATTCACACAAGGAGACAGTGCATCATAAGCCTCCATACAGAACCACTTTTCACCAAATTTAAGGGCTCGTTGTCCAAGCTATAGGGGGTTAGGCACATAGCTTGCCCGAGATTGTCAATACCCTAATAATTATTTTTCCATATCAAGTTACTTTTGACATATCCATTTTTAGCTGGCAGCTATATACAACAGATAAGATAGTGTCAAGGTTTTGTCTTGCTCTCTAAAAACAAATTTTCACAAGATATATCATCTTTAAACTAACATATATCTAACCCGATTGGACCAATTATAGTAGGCTCGTGAGTCGCGAGTTATGTACACAATCCTTGCTTTCCTTTCAATAACAGGTTTATTTTTCAGCTAGCTAGTGTATGTAAATACTATAGCTTTGAACAAATTATATATCATTATTTTTGAGCTGGAGTTAACTCTTCAATACAGGTTTCTGATTATTAAGCATCTCTCCCTATGGATGTGCATGGATGCAGAGAAAGAGATACAGAAAAAGTGATTTGTGTGTGTCCAATTCAGAAAAAAGGAAAACCTTCTTGTAACTATAACCTAAAATACACATGCACAATAATGAAGCATTATAGAAGAAAAGACATTCCCAACAACTAGCAACGTCTGATCACCTCATAAGTGCAAGGGTTTCCATCGATATATTTTCAATTGATTTGGTATCTATTTTCTCTGAATAGGCACACATTATATAAGGCAAGACTTATGCACAACCAGGGACAATAATCCAGGGTAAATTATAATATTTTTGCAATAAAAACTTACATACGCTACATACATATATACATACATATATATAAGCATTTTATTCAACTACTAGTTCAGAGAATGCATTACTAGGCACAAAACTCTTACGCTATCCTACAATTCATAGAAGACGGACAAGTCTTTACAGAGATAAATAGCACCATAAAATTGCCAAAACAAAAACAACTTAAAACAAACATCCACGACTTGATATACTAAACAAAAAAACAGATTTAAGGGGAAAAAAAAGGGTATACCATAGACACGATAAGATGGATCCTTTAGTTCCTATCATTAGGGGAAGTAGTAGAAGAATCATTCATCTTGGGCTTTGGCTTTGGCCTCTTCCTCTTCTTCTCATAGCTAACTCCTCTAGCCTTTGCCTGAAAATCACGAACATCACGCAAGTAAATCCTCACTGCTCGAGCACCGAATGGATTTGACTCTGGTCTGCCACCGTTCTCTTCATATGCAGCACGGAGACGACCAATGAGAGCATCGAGGCTACCCCATGCCTGACGAAGAGGACAGGGGCAAGGACCAGGTGGGTTTGGTAACCCAAAGAAAGGGCATAAAGGGTTATGAACTTTGGTCTTTCCGAATTGGTCAAGGTAGTGAAGAAATTCAAGCACATGAGCACCACTGCATAAGGCCATAGAAAGTGGTGGTATATGGTTCCTCAGATACTGGCAGAAAGTGTTCCAATCTCGCCTCTTTTGGTTCTCATAACGGCTTGGTGTGTTGTTGTTCGCTAAAGATGAAGATGAAGATGAAGATGAGGCTGTGGTGGGATCGGTGGTGGTTGAGGATGATACAATTGCAAGGATCTCATTATCGTAGCTGCTAGTACTGTTGTTTGCTGATTCAGAAACCAAATCCATTGGGGAATATTGAAGATCTGAAGATTCTTCTTTTAACCCTTGTTGTTGCTTTAGAATATTTGCGTTGGATCTTGAGAATGGTGAGATTAATTTGTGCTGATGATGATACTTGTCGTGTGTAGAAGAAGTTGAACGATCACCCATGACCCTGCTAGCTGAAGACTAGGGTTTTCCTCGTGTGCATAAGTAGATATTTAACTAGAAATTAATAAATGATGAAAGAAAGAAAGATTGTATGTGACATGAGTGTTTGTGGAAAAGGGAAGCGAGAGATGTAAGCTAAAATAGTGCATGATGGTGGTTTCCTTTTCATTTCTATTATGTCAAAGATAGAGTCAAAGATGGAGAGAGAGAGAGAGAGAGAGAGAGAGAGAGAGAGAGAGAGAGAGAGCAAGGAGAGGAGAGGAGGAGTTACTACTACTTCTTTCTACTACTAAATAGAGGAGAGATAAAGCTCATTGAGAAGAGGAATATTTGTTTGATGCCATCTTAAGTTAGTTGGCGTGAGAAGGAGAAGCAGTTGCTGGAAATGGAATGATTCTTATGGAAAACCTTAAAATTGATCAGATAATCAGAATTTTCATTCCAGAAAAGCGCAAACAACTGAGAGTCCTAATGTACTAACATGAGGGAAAAGAAGTGAAGTGGCCAAGGGTGAAGAAGAAGAAGAAGAAGAAGAAGCAGCAAGTGTTAAATGATGATGACCATTGACCAGAATTAAAGAAGAGTGTTATCTGCCCCAAAACAGGACAAAGTTTGGCAGCAAACAGTGCTGATGATAATGACCATAGATGAGCAGAGAAATGTGTATATTTTATCAATCTGACTCTGGTTATAAGCGCGTGAAATATACAACTGAATATGTATGTATTTTTATTATCCTGCCTAGGACGAACCTACACAAAAATATTGCAAGATGAAAAACAAAATCAACATGTATATGTTGATATTTTTCTTGGTATAAGAAATAAAATTATTTTTAATATATATATATATATATATATATATGGAAAAAAAGTTTCCGATGTTACTTTAAATAACTTTATCTAATGTTCATCGAAACGAAGTCGTTTTGGGATTGAAAAATTAAAAAATTAGAGTGATAAAGACTATTATAACGCTGAAATAAATTAAAATTACAAAAATATCATGATTTCTGTCCCAAAACGACGTCGTTTTGATGAACATTAGATAAAGTTATCTAAAGTAATATCAGAAAAAACAAACCCATATATATATATATACATATATATATATATATCTTTAATGTTTCTAAAGTGAATGTAGATAAGTTATTTACATTCGTTTTCAAAACGACGTCGTTTTGAGTTAAAAAATTATAATAAAATAGACTATTATAACCCTGAAATAAATTATAATTACAAAAATACCTTGATTTCCGCTTCAAAATGACATCATTTTGGACTCAAGGTAGATAAGTTATCTACATTGACAGTAGAAAAAGCGAACCCTATATATATATATAGAGGCAGGATCCTTTGACACCGGTGTCAAAGGAAAAGTTTGACACCTCATCTGAGAGTCGTTAGATTAAAAAAAATCAATGGTGTCACATGCTTACAAATCAGAATCGTTGATTTTTTTTAATTTAACGGCTCTCAGATGAGGTGTCAAACTTTTTTTTTTGACACCGGTGTCAAAGGATCCTGTCTCATATATATATATATATATATATATATATATATATATATATATATATATATTTAAAATTATGGGAAGAGAAGAAAAAAAATATAAATCCTACATATATTTATATACATGTGTATATAGGATAATTTTATCTCTTATAACATAAGAGATATTACACCCAATCAATATATAGAAATTTGATTTTAGAAAATAAAATTCTCCTTAAAATATTTTTCATCCGTGTGAACAAATTAATTTCGATATTGTGAAATTCACATTTTAGTAATTTGTCTTATACTGTATCTTGGTTTTTTAAAAGTATATAATTTCGATATTAACTTTATAATTTGAAAATCTATTCATACATGTACATAAATTTAAAAAAAAAAATTCAAAGGTAAAAACAGATGTGGTCTCGATTCAAGAATTTATGTGCATAAAAAATATTGTTCGAGAAAATTTATACTTTTTATGCGTATTTTATATAAAGAAACTATTTTTTATATATCTATTAAATGGGAATATATATTTAATGTCATCTTCGGCTTTTTGATTATTTTCATCTTAGCATAAGGATGCTCAACAGTTTTTTTTTTTTCAATTAAAAATGTTATATATAACATATAACTCATGGGATTTGGAAGCCTATTGAGAAACTCGAAGCTGCTGGAGTCCTACCAATGACAATCTGATTCCAGGTTATTCCAACCTAGGATTTGTGAGTTTTACCAATACACATATTTTTATTGCACAAAAAACAAAAAATTTAATAATTGCAAAACTTTAATAATTAAAAATAAATGTACGTACTAGTATATTAAAAATCAAAATATAAAAGGATTATCATTCCTAATTCAAAATACTACAACAAAAGTTGTAAAATTAAAGAGGTTGAAAATATACATAATGACTATAATAGCCAAATTTAAATATTATATATATATATATATATATATATATATATATATACAATTATCTCATGTTTAATATGGGAATGAGATTATTTTAAATCCACTTAGAAATATTTAAATATTTAAATCAATCAATTAATTATTTTTTTATAAATATTTAAATTAATTGGTCGGACAAATGTATATACTTATATAATTGAACATCAAATAATAATTTATATAGGGTTTTGTGAATGTAATTTTGCGCCAATATTGTTACTTTTGATTGTTTAATTAAGTTGTTTTTTCTTTCAATCACCCACTCCCGTAAAACTTTTCATAACAGAAATATTTATTGTTTAAAATGGTATAGTTATTGTATGAAGTTATTGCACTTTTATATATTTATACTAAATCTATAATATACTTGTACAAATTTATAATAAACTAAAAGTGTGAATGATACTATAAATTATATAAAATAACATTTGTATCTATTTCATTGTTATATACTAGTTATGTACCTGTGCACCTAATAGTAATAGATGTAATTGTGAATGTGATTTTGCACAAATGTTGTTAATTTTGTGTCAACGAGAGTGAAGTCGGATACTAACAGTTTCAATGTCACAATTTTGTGTCAAACAGGTTCTAACAACTCCCCTACTATCCCTTTTCTTAGTTTTCAATCTCACCCTTCACACAAAAGCAGAAAGATATGGTAACTATATAAAGCAGTTAGAAATGGTGAAAGTCCTGAAATTTAATTTTCCTCTTTAGAGTAAGGAATGATAACTCGCTGCACTTGGAATCTTAAAACCCACAAATGGAGGCAACCCGCGTGGGTGTCCATCAAACTTCCCAACATATTGGTCAATGTGGCTATGGTGGGAACCAATAAATGGGTACATCTATTTCTTGTAATTAGAGCAAACTCACACTGTGCCAAATCTGGAAAGAATAAATCACTAATAATTATAATTCTTCTTAACAATTTTTTTTTTAATATAAGTAAAAATTAAACACATTACCTAATACAATATACTCAAATCCTTCGTCACTAGATCAAACCTAATTGGCTTATTGTGATATTTTTTTTATTGTTCTCGCTTACTACCATAATAAATAATAAGGAAGACCAAAATCTCGTTGTGATTTTTCTCTGTTTTTAGTTTGTTTTTTTTTAGTTAATACTTTCTGTTAAGTATTGTAAGACCCACAGTCTTTAAAAAAATTATTAAATGATAACATCTAACCTAACATACCACCTGTTCAAAGACCCTCAACCACCGAGAAGCATTTTTTTCACTTTCTTTTCATGCACCCTTTAAGGGAAGTTTGAGCAACCTTGGAGCTAGAAGGCTGAACTCCTTGTGCATGGGGGAAGAGCTGCAACCCTAAGTGTTAGTGGAAGATTCACCACTTGTAGAAGAGGATAGAAGATCAAGAGTTTTGAAGGTGTCACTACCGTTAGGTAAGTTATGAAACTTCCACTCTTGCTGTGTTTACATTAGAAGAAGCATACTCTCAGAGTGCATGCATGTACCATGGTTCTGTGCTAATGAGTAATTAATAGAGATAAAGGATAATGCAACATGAAATTGCTATTGTCCTAGAACCCTTTTATGCATGCTCATGAAATATGACAAATGATTCATGCATGGATTGTGATTCGGATAAAATATAGGCCCATTAGAAGCCCAATGACACACATGGAAGCCCAATCCCATTAAGGATCCAGAGCAATTAAAGTCTGATGGAAAACATCGCGCATAAGACGCGATGCCCTCATCGCGCAAGACAAGACGCGATGTCCATATCGCGGATAAAGCCGCCCTTAAGGAAGCTAACTTAAGACCCAAGGCAATCCCACCGCGCCTTTATACCAATAAACGGAAGACAGCTCCAGCTTGCCGTGACTCAATGGCTTGACATTAAGAAGATAAGGCTACTCAAATTCTAGCACTGACCTGCAGCCCAAGCCTGGCCACTCAGAGGCCATGCCGCCATACTAAGGCGGCATCATAACCGCTATATAAGCAGATGGAACAACACCCAGGTACGATCATCCTTTACATTAATAACATAAAAACTCATGCCTCTGATACTGACTTAAGCATCAGGTACACCCCCTATTCAGATTCATCGCGCTACAACAAAGGACATAGACATAGTAAGATCCAACTCTGATTCCATGCCCAAGACCAAGAGCAACAATCCACATCTCAACCATGTGTGATTAGGCTTGATACATATTGGTCAGCCCATATTGTATTTGGTCTGATCAGATTGTATGACATTGACTTAGTATGGATACATGTAGTTCTTTCGTGCCTAGGAAGCATATTATGGTAACTAGAATTGATTGAGTGGGATTTTTGCACTTGGGTTAACTCTGGAAGGTTGCATAACTTGAACTCTGCAATTTGGTGTTGCTCGCTATAGCAAGTAGCTCAGCAA